CCAGTCTCCATATACGAGCATACCCGAGTTGTTTTTTCATACATGCCATTGTTTTAGTTAGGGGGAGGCTGGGAGCGTCTAGTTTGCCTAAACTCCTCGTAAACATTAACATTTGCCAAGGACCGGATATGATGATCTTCCGGGAGCAAGAGAGTGAGTTTGGGGCGCCGAGGTCGTAAAGGGCAAAGTTCGCGTCAATTTTATTAACACAGCGATTCGCCGCTCTCTCGCGTTGAATCCATTTTGGACGAAAATAGAGGACTGTTGACCCAATTGTTTGGTGGGAGGAAGGGGCAATGCCTGTGATGAATGCTGTCGTAGTTGTTTTTGCTCAAAGTTTCCTTGTTTCCGTTGGGGTGGAAAACACCCCCGTGGCGCGTATACGCTTGTCCGTATACACATAGCGCGGGAAAGTAACAAAAAAAAGTTGACGGTGTAATGAAAAGCCATCGAGGAGAAAAAAAAAGCTCGCTAGTACGTGGAGCATCGATGCGTAAACGCAGAAAGCAAACAAAACACTCGAGGGGGGAAAATAGAGTTCCTTACGAGTAGCGTAAACATTTGTCTCGCGGTTACGCTGCCGCCGCGGCACAGGTGTAGATACACATGTACCTCTTTGGCCGCAAAACAAATACCCTGTTTGGCCAATAGTCCCAAAGCCTTTCGCGTTAGGTTTAATACTTGATGGATGCGACGATGGGGTAGTGGGATAGTGGATGTATTATACGTGTTTTGTGGTGTGCGTCTTTAGCGCGGATTGGAAAATATTCAGGCTGTTGAACTTTTGCGTTTACATTTGAACAGACATGCCAAATATACAGTATCGCATGCAATCGCCTGAACCAATATTTTGACGGTTGTGCTCTCGAGTAGAAAATAAAATATTGATAACATTTTCCTGCTCCATATTAAAACGCGTGTTTGTATTTTTCACAAGAGCATGGGGTCTCTTAATTGATGATAGTTTGGTTCACGTTTATATAGTAAAATACGTGACTGTGGTCATGTTGGTGCACTTGAAAACTTTTGTCCGAAAAAGCACTCAAACTGTCAGTACCACAGAGCTGGTTATAAAGCAGTAAGAGTTTTTGACAATTATTCTAATAATTTTAATATTCGTTCATACGCTCGTCCAAAACCTTGCGCCCTCCGATCAAATTTTTTCGTTCAACTCAAAGCAAAAACATCTCTCGCTGCAGTATCAAAAATAAATCTCCATCTCTCCCTTATATCTAAAAAAAAAAAAAAA